AACAAACACAGCGATGCATTTCACAGAGCTGGACAGGCACAGCCCAAATGCTCCAAAACACAAAACTTTGGGATGACATTTTTGGAAAATGGCAATTCAGTTCCTGCAGAAGCACCCACAGTCTGTCTGGTGCCTTGAACCCCCTTGTCCCAAGGGATAGGGTGCTCCAGCAGTGCAGAGCAGGGAGCAACTCCCACCCCCTTCCTGCAAGGGAGCCTTGTCCCCAGCCTCTGTGCCACCGTGCAGCACAGGCGAGCTGGGCAGCAAGCTCAGCTAGGTTAGGCTGAGGATAGGATCCCCAAAAATGCAAGCTATGACCCCAAACACTACTCTAGTGCATTGCAACAAAGCAATAACAAATGAGAAGGGTTCCTTGAGCCAAGTCCAAGAATTGCCAAAGCAGGATTGTTTGCAAAGGGAAAGCCACAACCATAGCCTGAAAGTGGAGGTGACGGGGCTGGTGCAGATATCAGAGGCACCTCCCTCCAGCACAGGCTCTGCAACGCGCTAACCTGACAAACCACGGCAGGATAATTCCCAGCTCCTGCAGGGCCCTTCTCTCTTCTAAGGAAGCAGCCTTTGCAGGCTGGTTGTGTCACAGCACTCACTGCTGCAGAGCGGCTCTGCTCCCCCAAGCACAGCCCCGTAGCCCTGGCTTTGATCAGCCCTGTCCTACAACTACAAACCTGATTTAAAGGCCATTAAAAGGCAGTGGAGCCATTATCAACTTGCAAGGGCTCTGGAGCAGAACATCAAGGATCACTGAAACGTTTAGTACAATTGCCTAGTGAAAATTAAAGCTAACTGATATTAAATCATATGCACTATTTGCCTTTCGCATCTGCACACACAAAAGGTTTTTTAAAAGATCTCTTGCTGGCTCTTCCCAGTAGCCCATTTGCAACACTTCTTTAGACATCATATATCCAACTATAAGCACAACTAGAATGAATCCCAGAGCAGAATGATTTTTGAACAAGGCTTCCTTGCAAAATGCCTTTTGGAGGGTCAGGATTCATCAGTACCTTTAGTAGTGCACTGCTCATGCCTTTAAAATGACTCCTTCTGCCATGTGCTTTTTTCCTGAACTGGTATCRAAAAGGGAGAGATTCAAGAGCTCCATTAGGCCAACTAGGATGTCACATCTCAACATCCACACAATAACCATRGCCTCAACAAATAACTCTGTGTCATGATACCCATAAAATATGTRTAAAAGGTACATCTGCGTAACTTGCATTCCTCCCAGAGAAAAACAAGTATTCTCTTCAGATACAGCATGTCCTCCATTTACCTTTTCCTTTTWATTGCATCTGCAAAGTGGTGGAATAAAGACTCATTTTCAGGATGCCATAATCAGACAGGCTATGAGGAGCATAATGATTTTTACAGCAGAGGAATATGCATCTAATGCCACTTCTCAGCAAGTCTGGTAGAAAAGCCTGAACTGTCTTGGGTTAGCATTAATATAACTATTATCAATTCTTGTGGAAACTGTCGGGAAGAACAGCTTGCAAAAGAGATGATGATTGAGCGGGCTGCATTTCCTTGCAGATAAGGAAAAGTAGGACAAAGAGCCCTAAATGTTTTCATGATCATCGTGCTAGGATGTGCCCTGCAAAGGTGCAGTCCTGATGTCAATGGAACCACTGTGGTTTCCACCATCAGAGGATGCAACACAAGTATTTTTATGTTTTAAGATGAGACCAAACAAGCAGGATTGTGTAATCAGCCAGCTAGGCCATTCACTAGGAAGCAGAGAGGCAAGGCTCTGCTGCCAGCATACATCTTTAATAGCACATAAATAAACCAGTATCTGAACAGGGACTGAAATTCAGGTCTTTCCCCTTGGGATCAGCCTGAAGTACCAGTGCTTTTCCCTTCCGGGCAGTTGCCAGGAGCTGCCTGCAACCCCTGCTAAAGACTGGAATAAGAGGCTGATGTCTTGGATTCCCATCCCACTCCATTCTCCCCAGGCCAAGTCAGCTTCATTTAGTGCCAAAAATTAAATCTGAGTTTCCCAGTATCCTCCCAGCCTCTAACCTGATAGCYCTGGTCCCTAACCCCAGACCTGTAACTTCCAGGTGACCAGAGATATAATCATCTCCAAAAGAGGACAGGTCTGAGGAACGTGAGAGCAGGGCAACAGTTGCTTTTGGAAATGGCTTCATTCTMCCCATCACAGTTTTATCGATTAAAAAAATCTCACTTGTCCAACTTTAACGCCAAGAGTAAGAAGGGCAATGAGTTAAGTGCTTTTACTAGTCCAATGCCAGGAATAAATTAATGAACAGAGTACAGCAAATTAGAAATATACAGCATTCGTTCCATGCAAAAGGCCATTTTCTGATGAATAAAATAGTAAGCTAAAAATGGCTAATTTGAAAATCAATATAAAAATTACTCCTACGCGCTACTGCATAAACTGTATCTCTTATGTGGGCTCTTTAATATTAGGTGAATGCAGATGAAAAATTCACGGACAAAGTTTTCCCCTTTTTCAAATTCAAAGATGAAGTTTAGATTTGCCAGTGTTGGGTTTGGGACCTCCCAAGAAGGGCAGAAGAATCACTGACCACAAGAAAAYGACAGTCCAGATCACCAAGAGCAGCATCTCCTTGGCAGCATTCAAAACAATGTGTAGACAAGGCACTAGGAACCTGATTTAGCAGCCTAGGTGGTGACGAGTTTGTGGTTGGRCTTGATGATCTTGAAGGTCTTTTCCAACCATAATGRTTGTATGAGTGTCTTGGTGCTTAGTAATATAGGATCAGATGCATGTTGGACAGACTGATGCCAGAGTGTTAATGCCCTTAAATACTTGTCCTCTGCTGCAGCAGCCACGGGTAACACCTATATGAATATTGGCCAACAGCTGTATGGATATTGGCCAYCTCCCCTCCCTGTTCCTGCTCCAAACCAACTCCAAGCACTTCTCCCAACCTCTGTTTTCTGTAGAGATTCTCTAGGCCAAGCTCACCAAAGCCCATGTGATCCTTCTCCACAACTCCCAGTGCATGGACCAGCCTATTGATGTGGATATAGGGATGGCCTGAGGTGCTGGGCACTACACTACATGCCCCGGCACACACTGAGGGGGAACAAAATGATTGCACACCCTGGAAAGGCAGGGCCACTCACTGCTTGCATGATCTCCATCAACTGAGACTTGCTGAGCTGCCCTCATGTCCTCTTTTGCTAAAAAGGAAAGAAAACAAAACTGAAAGAAAAAAAAAATCAAACAAAAATCTGGAAGTCATTCCTTCCCCACTATGAAAATTAACTTATCAACATACTGCTGCATTCAGCATCTTCCTTACTGAAGAAGCTCATCTTGGTGCACCAGACACCACCTCCCAGATGCTTGCACTCTCAAGCTCAGCCCTTCAATCCCTCTGAGGACACAGGGGAAGGGGAAGTTTCTCCCGGCACTCAGACCTCAGCCTGGAGCAGAGCTCTCACCTTGCAATTGCTCACACTGTGCTCCAGCAGCAGAAGAGCACCCGGGGCATCCAAGTGCAACAAACCTTCTAGGATGATGTTGGGAGCACACACAGGATGGAACAAGACCCCTCAACTCTCACCTAGAACTAAGGCTGGGCCATGTTCCCCCTTAAAATAGGGCAACCCTAATTACTTCATTATGGTCCCACATGTGTGGGGAGGAAGAAATGCAATCAGTCAGGATAAGGATCCTGACTTTTCCCTGCTCTGTAAGCCAAGGGCAGATGTAAGCTAAGAGCCCCTTGCAGGTATAAACAAGCTGTAAAACATAAGAAAGACATTTATAACTCTTCATCCTCCCAAGTCTCCTTTACTTCATCCCCATGATTTGGATTCCCATGATTTTCTGCCAAGCAGAAGTTTGGTTTGTTTGTTTTGGTTTCAAAGAAAACACACAGAGCCTTCAACTACTTTAATCTGGACAGATGACAAAAGTTAGTAGATTTCCCTTAGTCAAGAACCAGGCCCTGCAAGTACTGCTTTACTAAAAGCAGGAATAATTTGCTATGTTTGAGTTCTTTTAGCAACTGTCACTGAATGGACACTTAAGCATGGATGTGCAATAACACCGTTAAACAGCTTACRCTGACCAGGAGGATTTGAGCATTTCCAGCTGAAAGCATAACCCCCTCACCCTTGTAATATAATAAAGGTTAATGTGATTGTACTGCCTGCTGCAGCTCCCTGCTCCACACAACGTCAGGGCTAAAGAAGTCACGCAGATGCACATCAGCTTGAAGCAAGGGCTTTTACCAACCATGAGCATGAGTACTCAGCAATATATGAGCTATATATGAACAATAGAACCTCCACCAGGTTCTGTTGGCTTCTGCAGGAGAAGACGGTGCCCAAACTATTTAAGGTGGCAAAACTCAAGTCTTATTTTCCTGCTCTTCTCTAAGCAGACAGAATTTCCTCATCTGGTTAAAGTGATTTAGATGTCTACTGCATCCCTCCAGACCCAAGCAAGTCTGAGCAGAAAGATACTCTTCCCAATCCAGAACAGATACCAGGAACAGGCAAGTTTGCTTTCTGAATGTGCCTCATTCACCACTGTCTGCAGAGTGATTCCCTTCTACGGACTTAAATATGAGCTCCAGCTTTCAAACCAGCAAAGCCAGGCGAGACGAGCACAGGGATCTGGGTCACAAACTGCCTTTGCACATAAAACCTGTGGCCACAGGCACCCCAGAAATATCCACTATTTCCTCTTACAACAGTAGTGCCCGTGGAATCATTGCTCCTTCTGGCCATATCCCCAACTGGTAACAAGCAACACATCACTGTCTTAAAATAGACACGGATGTAGGACACACTCTATTTCCTAAGGCAAGCTATGGGAGCGGGGTGAAATAGCCAGGATAAAAGGAAAAATATTATAGTAAGCTGACAGAAAAGAAACACATTAAATGAAGCAGTAGGAGAGAGGCTTTGGCACATGGGTACYACACAGCTTCAGCATGAACCAAGAGCAACACCAACCCAAGGACACTTACACGTTTCTTCCTGCTAAGGCATTTAAGGACACCCTCATCCAGCTCCTCCAGGTTCAGCCTTGGCTCTGGACCCTCACCAAGCTCAAAGGCAGCTGCAGGAAGTGCTGCTGTTTGGATGCTAACTAGATAAACCAGAGCTAATGAACGAAAAGCCGGTGTTTGAGTCAAAGGAGAGCCCGTAGGACCATGGAACCACAAGTCCTTTCACCTGGGCAGATCCACTAGCTCACCCATCCACCAACCAGTTATACCTTGTCTGTGGATGAGATGTCCTGGGCAGCTGTGTCCTGATGAAGACACCTTCTCAGGGAAGCACCACGCTGCAGTTTCACAAGCACTGCCTATGTTACAGGCACAAACTATGTAATTACCAGGACAGCATCATGTTTTAATGCTCCCAAGTGTGTGCAGAGAGCCATCAAGCAGATAGCCACGTCACCAGGCAGCTACACCTTGCCAGAGTCATGTGAGACAACAGGGTTGGAAGTCAGGTATCTGGGAAAAAAGAAGTCAGATGCAGCATGTTTTATCCCAGTGAAGTAAATGCAAGCATAATATGTTTTATTAAATATATATACATATATATGACAATTACTGAGAACCAAGAAGGAGTCTTTCTTTTTTTCTTTTTTTCTTTTTTTTTGCAGAAACAGCACATGGGAGCCCTGCAGAACTGACTAGTGGGCTCCAGAGGTTGGACACAGCTGTGCAGCCCCTTCTGCGTATAGTATCTTGAGACAGTTTTATTCAAGTCTTATAGCACCAGCCTCTATTAATGCCAGAAATGTTAATATGTAGGGAAGCCAATCCGCCTAAATACCATGCTGCTCTAATGAGCAATTTTCCTGTATTCACCAGCACTAAGGCTCTGTTGTCGAGATGCAGCTCTCCATAATTAGCACCCACTCATCACGCTGCTTTGAGCTGGTATCTGAAGGCAGAAATGAGAAGGGAAGTCCATAAATCTGGAAAAGCTTCTTCAGTGCTGGCTGTATTAGGGACAGAGATGCTCTTTGGGCTTTTTTTTAGCACAGACAAAAAGATGAGCGGGGGAGGAAGAAGTGAAGGTACCTTCCAAAGGATGGGCAGCACCTCAGCAGGGTACATCCTGGGCTGAAAACTCTCCAAGAGGGATGTATCTATAGATATCTATGCCAGGGCACATCCTCTATTTGCACCTGTTAGTTGAATTTCCTGGATTTCAACTGGAAGAATCTGGGTCTAAGGCATCTAAGTGATTTTCCTTCTGCTGGTGATGATGGTTTTGGTGGGAGATAATAGTAAATAAAGGAGCCTCTATGGTTCATCTGCATCTCGAAGCATTCAAAGATTTTACAAAACTCTTAGAAAAGAGCAGCTTTAAAAGGCTCTAGCTGACCTCGAGTAGGTTGWGATGTGGCTCAAACTGGTATTAACAACCCTGAGTGTTTTGAACGCTGGTGCTGAACGGAGCAGATTTCTCATCTTCCTCAGGTTTCAGTGACTTTGGAGTGGTGCACAGGCTTGAAATATGCTTGATGCGCACAATGAAAAGCTGTTTGGGAAAGACAGCCACCTGAATCCCTTTAGGGGGAAGGAAGAGCCTCTGCAGAAGCTCTCTGAGCTGCAGCGRGGCTCTCCTCGCCACCTGAGCAATGTCTTCTCAGACCCTCTCTACCCAGTGTTGCTAAATAACAATAGAGAAATTAAAAGCTGAAAAAAGAWCCCATCAATTCTTTGGATTTTTAAAAAAGAAATTTCACCTGAGGCTTTTAGGAGCAGCAGCTACAACATACTTCATCACATCTACAGACCAATAAGCAAATACCAACAACTTAGATGTCTTTCCCCAAAGATCCCTGACTGTAATTAACCACTAAAAAGCTCATGCTGTGAGAAATTATGAGGTAACCAGGTGTGCTAAGCCCTAGTAACATCAAAATTAAAAGAAAAAAAAAATAAAAGGACCTAAGGTATTTTTAGGTTTCCAGATCTCAGCTCTAAGGCTTGAGTGCCCTGCAACTGCTGTGGGGAAATAGCAAGTTCTGTAGTCAGTTATTCCAAGCATCACGAAGGCTGYTCCTCTTGGGGAGTAGAAGCCCATGTGGCTTTGCCATGGTTTATAGCAGCCCAGAGCCCTGTCCTTGCCACTGGCACCCTTCAGCCCTATGATAAAACACGCAAATAAGTGTCCTGTGCTGCTCATAAGAGAGGACCACGTGTAGTCCATGGCTCTCTGCTGCAGCTCAGCAAGAGCTGACACGGATTAATGAGGGGATTAGTATATCTGCTAAAGCAGCTGGCTGTCAGCACGTCCAGCCCCAAGCGATGCACTGGAATCCTCAGCTCACCATTTCTGGCAGTTCTGGCAAACATCCMGTCACAAACCTTCACCCTACCGCAGGTAACCTCAGTGATGTCCCTGCCTGGGGAATGGACACCCCCATAGGGGACCAGGCATCRAAACTGTGCCCAGTTTCAAGCTTGCTGTGAGTGCGGAAAGCGGGAACCTGCTGGGCGGCTGGTGGGACAGACACCGAGTCCAGGTGGGAGATGGGGCCAAGGGAAGCGGTGCAACAAAGACGGGATGTGTCCGCTGTTACTGCTGGGATGGAGGAGCACGTGGGGAGCCATGCAGGACATTTACGTTCATGTGTTAGGTTGTTAAATGGTGTAGTGATGGGAACCTCTTTTACTGTCTCTATTTCTGCAGTTGTCTTCTGCGTGGCATCAATGTTCACRAGAGCCTCCCCTGTGCAAACATCCCTCCCTTGGCCTGCTCTCCACACCTCCTTGCTCGTGCATCTCATTTAGCCATGAACATGGATTTTATCCTTCTGTCCAAGGGTGCCACCAGGCTATGCACAGTGCCCTCACTCAACTGCCTTCTTTATATCGCTGTCCCTGTCACTGTTTGCTAGACCTTCCACCAGTCTGTGGTAACTCCAGACCTTCCTGAAGAAACACTAGTGAGGATAAAGAAGACAAGGCTTCCATATCGATCTCCTATTAGGACTGAGATAAAATGGTCACTCTGGCTGATGGAATCAGGAATTGCCACTTTTCCTTCTCTATTCAATTTACAGCTCCATCCAGCCAAATGCTAAATGACCACTGTCCTTTTCAGCTATAGTTTCATCTTGCTTTTGCCTACCTGGAGCAGAGATGCATTAGGCCTGTTCACCACCGAACGCAGAGCTGTCACAGGAACATTTATTTTTATTAATTGTATCCACAACTACAGCCTAGATCATTCTCCAGTTTAGCGGCTGCAGTACAAGGCAAACAGTGATTAGGGACTAGGATGGTGGGATGAAGTTTTCTGCAGCAGCTCAAGAGTGCACTTCTCCTGAGCAGCACAGATACCACACCATGCCTTTGCTTCAGGTCTCTGCTGCAGGACAACAGGAGGAGACTCTTTTCCATGGGCACAGTGGAAAGGGGAACAGGGAACAGGGGAAAGAGAAGCTCCTGTCAGCCTGATCCCGGGAGCCATCRGAACCCAGAGAGGCTCCTGATTTGAGAAACTATGTGGAAAGAGGTTTCCCTCCAGRAACTGGTTATTTATAACGATCGTCCTCTGCCTTGTCTGGGTCGGAGCAATGGGGCCTTTCTCCCAGCCCACAGGCGGTCTGTGCCCCAGAGCTGCAGCCCCTCGCTCTGTCTTCTGTGTGATTGGGATTGACTTGGCACTTTTGTGCCAACGGGAGGAGTTTGAGCATTTCAGCTGGACTACTACTTCCCTCAAAATAAAAAACTCAGCCAGAGAACAAAATAAAATCCTTTTCTTATCCAGCTCCCAAAGACAAGCAGATTCCTGTTCATACCACATGCAATCAAGTTGATACAGGCAGCATTACCTATATGAGGAAAGTGTTCACAGCATCGACTTGCCTGGGGGGGGACTCAGGAGAATAAAAATTTGTTTTCTTTTTGTAAAACAAATATCTTTCCCCATCACTGTCCTCACCCCAGAACTCAATGTCCATGTTGAGGACCAAGGTCTAGACACAAATGCAAAGAACATACAATGGATTCATCAACGAGCTGGGAAATTTAAAAATAAATGCACCATCTTGAGAAAAAGACATCTGGATCCTCTTAGGAGGGAGGAAAAGCAGTGTTTACTGCAAAGCAATAGTGGCGCTTGCAAATGCAAATGTATGTGTGTGAATCTGAAAAAGCAACAGACTGCAGGAGCAGCTCAAGTGCGTGGGATGCAACAGAGCATTAGCTATATCTGCTTCTTTCTTTCCTTCTTTCTTTCTTTCTTTCTTTCTTTCTTTCTTTCTTTCTTTCTTTCTTTCTTTCTTTCTTTCTTTCACTCTTTCTTTCACTCTTTCTTTTTTCTTTCTGGATATGGAAAGAAAAAGTGAGTGAGTAATGCCAAGGGAATTTAGCATACTAGGCCTTGTCACTATAAGGATTGATTCTGGCTTGAATGTTAAAAAAAAAAAAAAAAAAAGAAAAAAAAAAGCCAACCAACCGAGTAATTCATTTATTCTTCTTCTTGCAGTCAATGGCTGTCTCTCTCCATCAAGTGGGGTTAATGCCCTTTGATCATCGTGTTGTGGTTCAGTGAAACTCATCTCCACTAATCCAGACCTAACTGACAATTATGATGAGATACTGTAAAGAAAGGCCAGCCTGGAAAGCCTGGGCATTCTCCTGAACAGCAAGGTGGGAGCAACATGGRCTCTTCAGAGGCTCTGCAGTGCTCACCAAAAGTGGAGGTGGAGCACAGGGATGGATGTTGCTGCTGTTGATGCAGGTGCCACACAACCACTTCCCTCTTGTTCATGGAGAACAGGGACTTCAGCGGATTTGATGTCTTATGTAGTGCCAGGAAGACAAGAMGACCACAAGAGCTTCCTCTATCACTGCACAACATCGTTCTTGGGATATTTAAATGTAATTCTCAAAGTTCAAAATGTTTTTTTTTTTTTTTTTGTCAAGTGGACCAGCTTGATTTCCAAGCCATAGCTTCTAAAGAGAAACTCCCTTAAAAATAACCTGCCAGTCTGGTGTCCATTTCTTTAGTCTATAGGAACACATACACTTGCACACAAGCACATCAGCTGCA